TGTTTTTTACAGTCACGTTTATGGCTATCATTAACCTCAAACTCAAAGTTTTCCACAATGTTATCAGTTGTTGGCAAGATGGTTATCAGAGCAGACACTCGATCTGCTGTGGAAGACATTTGATACACATGTCGCAAGCACATTGAATTAAAACAGACTGATCAATAATAACATTCAAAAGTCTCATAGGTCATATTTTAAAGCAGTTTCTTTCGCAGACTGCCTCAATTTTTTTTTTATAAGAAACGTTTTCAGAATTTTTTCCCCCAGATTTTTAAAATGTGGTTCTTTTTGCTGGGTAAGCAGTCTTTATTCTCAAGTTCCATATGGACTTCTTCTTAGGCACCCCTCTGCTGTAGCATTTGTGTTGTACCTCATCAGTCTCTAGTTGTGATAGCAGTTGCATCTTCCAGATGTTGAAACACTGAGCTACTAGTTGTTTCACTAATGTTGGGTGTCAAAGACTCCATAGGTCTGACATCCTCTTTTACTGGGATTACTTCCTTCCAAACCTTTTTTGGGTCATCTAAGAAAAGTGCACTAATTTATATATAAAGAAGTCTTTTAATTGAATCTTTCCATGAAATACACTTAGAGTGACAATAATGTTTCAAAAAACTTTAACCTCAAATGTGTTATTTTTTTTAAGTGAAGCATCTCTCCGGTGCACACTGGTAACACTATGAAATCCAGATTTTCTTCTGTTTTCTTGTCTTTTTTAATTATTTTTTGTTTTTTTAAACCTGATTTTCTTCTCTCAGTGCATCATATTTAAGGTGTAGCACCTGTGCTCTAATAAAGGCTACACTTCTGAGATGAGGCCCTAGAGTTTCTATATAATCAAAACCAGAAACTGACATTTTAAAGGACAAGGATATGAAAGATACATTTCTTGCTTTCTTGCGTCTAGTTCTGCTTTTGTCCCTAAAATAAACAATTGTAGTTTCTTTTGAGTCACGTATCAAATGACCTGATCTTTGCATCATTAAACCTAAATCTGAAAGTGAAACAATAGCTTATATTTGAACAGTGATGTTTATAGTGACCATAAAGACCAACGTTCTTTTACACACGTATCAGAGTTCATGTTGACCCTATGCATAAATGTTTTCAGCAAAAATGTTCAGTAAAATAAATCTTTACATCAAAAAAGTTGCAGTCTTAACCTGAACCCCATTAATTTTCAATAAATATATCTTGCACATCTTTGGCTTGTGGAAAATGCCAAATAACTTTAAATGTATTATATTAAAGACAGAAGTAGTATTTTTGTCCTTATGCAGATCATGTGATTTCTGTGAACTCAGCTTGATCTTCCTCTGTGGTACCTCCCAAGTAAAGCTAAAGGGGCGGGTCTTTCTCACAGAGTATATAATGTCTGAAACAATAGCACTCCCTCAGAAGTTCACATATATATCAGCTGTAAGTACAGCAATATTGTTTTGATATTCTCCTGCATGCATTATTGTTTGTCTTGGATAAATAATTAGATTTATGTAGGTGGCTGTTATTTACCTGTATTTTTTTTCTTTTTTGTTATTATTTAGACAAAGATTTTGGATATACTTTAAATGTTTTTTGTTTTGTTTTGTTTCTTAAATTAGCCAATAGTGAATGCTGTGTGTAACTTAAAGGTTAAATCTCTAGTAATCTCTTAGAAACGATGGACCCTACATTTTGACTCTTGCTGAGGTTTTTGTGTGTCAGTTCAGGGGCTTCTGTCCTTTACCCACTGAGCTGCTGAAACTGATAACACAGACCTTCATGAAATGGCTTCCATGAAGGTCTGTGTTAAACAGAAAAAAAAGACATGTGTAAAGAATGGAGCTTATCTTTGGTCTATCTTACATTTTATCTCTTACATGTGTAAAGGTTCAAGTGTAATTTACAAGCCAAATGTGTTTTTGTTCTGTAATAATAGAATTCGGCAATGTGAAATATTCAAAAGTTACTCCACCTTATTTATTCAAGATTAATTATTAAGTTCGTAAATCCAGAATGAGGCCAAATAACTATAAGATTAAAAAAAATACAAATATGAAAGTGTGATTAATAATAATTATGGCTCTATTCACTTCAGATGGCCCTGGTATGCTGTTTCACAGAACCAGTCTATAAATAACTGTACTTGTGTTTTTCCTGCTGTAATATACCAAGAGCCTATTCTGAGTGGCTGGGATGAATACATGCCACGCTTAACATTTTGAACAGCAGGAGAATAAAAACTGAACTATTATCAAACTAAACCAGAGTGTCTGTGTTGTCTAGTCTGGACTAAGAGATGGACACTGAAGCCGGCAGAACGATGGAAATTGCGGCGCTTGGCCGCCCATTCAGCCTTGGGATGCTGTATGACTGCCGCCAGGATGTAGTCATACCTGGTAAGGATTCACAAGTATTAACTAAATGTAACTTAACCATAATCCACATTTACATCACCTCTGTAAATAAGCAATTTACCTCTTTGGATTAACCAAATATTTATTCTGGTTCTAATATTTGAAAGATAAATATATTTGTTTTAACAAGTATAATAGTGAATTGATGTTACAAAAAATGCAATATATTGTTGCTTTTTTTATTCTTTACCTTGGAAGTCCCATTAAGATCAAATCTCTTTTTCAAAGGAGACCAGGCCATGAAACACATGTATGACACAGACCTTAAACATCAGGATTCTCCTAGGAAGTGATGCTATACTTTACAAAACCTGCTGTGGAAAGTTTTTAGTTTGACCATTGTATTTCACTGACGAAATAACTTCATACTGGCTCGTTTAGCCTCAAATCAGCCAATTATTAGACCATTTCCTGCTCGAACATTTCCAATTTGCATAAATATTTAATGGTACAAAGTTTGAATATATGTGAGTCCTGTGAAATTTTAGCTTCATCTATCAACTACTTTTCAAGATATTTTTTTAATGGTCCATCGACCTACTTTCAAAACATTTTGGTTCATTTTGGGGAAGAAGGGAACGGGAGATTGACAGACTGATCAAGAAGCAAAGACAAAAAGGAAAAAAAAAGAAACACGGCAGGGTTCGGTGATTGAATCAGCTGTCCCCACCAATGCCAAAACCAAATCTACGCCCTTGCTCTGATGGGTAAAATTAAGTGCCAAACCATGCTACCTTCGTGAATGTTACCTACAAGCATACTTTAACAGGTAAAATGAAGTGGCAACCCGTCCTGGCTTTATGAATATGGGCTACAAGCATACTCTGATGGGCAAAGTTACATGGCAAACCGTCATACCTACTTACATTTGTGCTGGAATTACTCGGACAGCAGAAATGTGCATTAACTACTTATGGTAGGACGTTTTGCCAAAGTAGAATGGTTTGTCAGAACACCGTGTCGGACTCGTAGACGAAAATTTGCTTTACTTTGTTTTCTGGGTCAACTTAGCTAGTGAGAGACAGAGAGAGGCATTGAAACTGCTCCAACGGAACTTATTGTTTCGGAGGAAAGCACGATCACAGTGTACAGTCGACCTAGAGTCATTAATGTGGTGAGTTGTCTCATTTACATTTTGAGAGAACCCGATTGAGTCAAATAAAAGATTAAACGCAGTGTTGAGGCTATTGCTAACTATAATTCCCATAATTATTTTATCTGAAATGAGCACTAAAACAGATTTTTTTGCTAAAAAGTCTAAAAACACTGAGGAAGGTAGACAACAAATAAAACCAGCGTTTGAGTTTTCCAGTTCAGGTGCACAAGGGTAAGAGTTAGGCTTTCAAATCAACCAAAACTCTGTCAGGGTCTCTAGTTCATTAATAAGCTGTAATGAAAAATCACTGGCACTTGTCCTCCTTAGCCTGCCCTTTGAGTGTTCTTAGATTTAGTATTACTCAGGGGTGATAATTCATTCAAACTAGCATATTCATCTTGTAACCAGGTTTCTGTATTCCAGGGCAAATCAATATGTTGATCAATGGTTAAACCGTTTACTACTTAGATGACAGACCTACTGTTTAGTAATCTACATAATCTACATTTAAATAGTTTACTCTTTGGTGCAGTTAAAGATGCTATATTGTTCTTCTTTGTGAATTTTTATGTTTAAAATGTTTTTGCGGATTTGTTTTGTGGTGGTCTGGGAGATTACAGTCTCTATGGGAATAGGGTGTTTTAGGGGGGTTGGGGGAGAAGTTGGAGTGAGGCATGTAAGATTGCAACTCTGCTTCCTGGTCCTAACTCTGAATAGTCATGATGTTTGGGGGATTTAATACATCTGTTCAAATTTCTAGAAATGAGAGCTGCTCCATCGCAAGTTGGATGGATGTGGTCTCTTCTAGCAAGACCAGATTTTCCTCAGTAATTTTTTTAATTATCTATAAAGCCTATATAAAATTTTGGATACCACTCAATTGGTAATTTAAAGAGAATATGCAGCTTAACATGTCACAACTCTGACCGATTGAGGACAGGACCAGGTAAAACTACAGTCAGACATTTTTTGGTAAAGTTACAGACTGACTCAATATTAATTTTGGTGACCTTCAATTAAGGCAAAGTGGTTTCATTACTGCCAATGTGAATTATGATTTTACCAAATCTACTATTATCCTTAGCCAGTAGTTTCAGGTTCTTTCAATGTTGCCTGCTCTTGCCCCTCCATGTGGTTCACAAAGTAGATTCCAGTCTCAAAGTAGTCCTAGAGCAGTGGTGGGCAACTCCAACCCTCGAGGGCCGGTGTCCTGCAGATTTTAGATGTGTGATTGATCCTACACAGATGATTTAAATGGCTAAATTACCTCCTCAAAATGTCTTGAAATTCTCCAGAGGCCTGGTAATGAACTAATCACTTGATTCAGGTGTGTTGACCCAGGGTGAGATCTAAAACCTGCAGGACACTGGCCCTCAAGGCCTGGAGTTGGCCACCCCTGTCCTATAGTATCTCCACAACCTCTTGTGTGTCCTAATGACTGTAGATACAGGTTGTTGCTTAACAAGACAAACACACTTTCATATCAGCAGATCGAGCTAGTGATCAGCTCTGCAAATCGGGTGGGGTGAGGGCAGTGGCACTGTATAAATTTGCTTATGACTTGCGTAGTGCTCTGGTGGTACAACTTACAAACTGTTGAAAAGTTGGTAATCAGGGGGTGGAGGTCCTCCATGGGGAAGGGGGTCTGACAAAGAAAATGAACCAAATCAAAAAAGCAGATCCATCAGTAAGTACATTTCATTAAAGGTAGAATTTCACAGGAATATTATGGAACTTGAAAAAACTTGAAACTTTTATTGTCATTGTACTATTGCTTGCACAGTGAAATTAGGTAGCAAGCCCACAAAGGTGCAAAAGCAAAGAAAACAATATACAAGAAAAGAAAAAAAAACAGTATAATAACACTATATGCACAATTTTTGGGTTACAGGAAGTATTTTGGGGGTGTGTACAAGGACATTGTAATGAAATATAATAAATAAAAAATAAGGGTGGAAGGGCTTTGGTCGTTAAGGATAGGGATGGAAATTGCACATCTGACAAAATATTGCACGGAGGGGAAAAAAATGGCAGTAACATAATAAATGGCAAATAGCAGGGTCAGAATGATTGTATGGGTGAGGTCTGCTCCCAGTCTTAACTTGCATTTATGGTTCTGACATCCCATGGATAGAAGCTGTTCTTTAGTCTATTGGTTTCACACCTGATGGAACTGAACCTTTTTCCAGAGGGCAGGATGTTGAATAGATGGTGGCTTGGATGGAGATGGTCTTTTATATTTGCCCTGACTCTAGAGAGGCATCTAGAGCTGGCAATGGAGTCCAGGGAGGAGAGTGGACAGCCAATCACCTTCTCTGCAGTTCTGATGACTCTCTGGAGTCTGTTCTTATCAGCTGTTGTGCAACCAGCGTAACACACGGGGATGGTGTGCACCAGCACACTCTCAATTGTTGCTTGATAGAAGGACACTAGTAGGTCAGTCTGCAGCCTGTTCTATCTTAGAACCCTAAAGAAATGGAGGCTCTGTTGGGATTTCGTCACCAAGGCTGATGTGTTTGTACTTCAGGATAGGTCCTCAGAAATGTGGGTACAGAGGAACTTAAAGGAGGACACCCGCTCCACAAAGTTGCCTTATATAGAGGGGGAAGAGGGATCAGTTTTTGTCTTGTGCAAGTCTAAGACCACTTCCTTGGTTTTCCTGGTGTTGAGGGTCAGGTTATTGTGGTCACACCATTCTGTCAGACATTGGATATCATCTATGTAAGCGGTGTCGTCATCGTTGGTGATGAGTGCTGTCTGCAAATCTGATGATGTGTGGGGGTGCAGTCGCTGGTGTAGATGCAGCATAAGAGAGAACTCAGCACACATGCCTGCGGTGAGCCAGTGCTCAGTGACAGGGAGGATGATCTCCGGTTGCCAACCTTGACAGATTATGATCGGTCTGTAAGAAAGTTTTTGATCCATCCACATGTAGCGGGGGAAGAAGTCCAGGTTTACCAGCTTGGCTATAAGGATGTCTGGGATGATGGTTTTAAAAGCCAAGCTGAAATCAATGAAGAGCATCCTTACTGAAGTCCCAGGATTCTCCAGGTGATGCAGAGCAGAGTGGAGGGCAGTGGAAATTGCATCCTGCCTTATAGGCAAACTGATGGGGGTCAAAGCTGGGTGGGTGGCAGTCCTTTATGTGCTATAGGAAGCTGCTTCTCAAAGCACTTAGCAACCACTGGAGTCAGTGCAATGGGTCTGTAATCATTGAGGCCACTGATGGTGGTGGACTTGGGGACTGGGACTATTGCTGCTGATTTCAGTGAGGGACAGTGGCATGTAACAGGGAGAGGTTGAATAGCCTGGTGAACACAGGAGCCAGCTGGTCAGGAGCAGGCTTTGAGCACGCTCCCAGGTATTCCATGTAGGGCCTGTGGCTTCTCTCTCATATTAACTGCTCTAAACACATTGCAAACCCGGTGTTCTTGGTGTGTGGGCTGTGCTCAGAGGAGGCTATGGGCAGGGTGGTGTGCATCGTAGGGGTGTCTACAGTTCTCCCAAAGCAGGCGAAGAAGTGGTTAAGTTCCTTTGCCAATGAGATGTCCATGTTATCTGTATTTGTCCTGTTACCTGCGGAGTTGGTGATGTGTTTCTGGCCCTCCTATACCTTTTTAGGGTTGTTATCTGAGATTTGTGTGCACAGTTGCAGACTTGCCTGAACCTTACTTGTCATTCAGGGTTTACAATTGGGGTAGGCCCAGACCCACTTTTCTGTGGTGACAGTGTCCATGCAATGCATGATGTAAACCAGCACTGCAGCAGTGTGAGTCTCTAGTTTGACATGTTCGAAGACTCTCCACTCTGTGAGGGCGAAACCGTTCTGCAGCTGTGCCAGAGCTTCCTCAGAAAAGGTGTTGAAAGTTCTGATGTTAGGCTTTGTCCTTTTTCTGAGTGGTGTGTTTGCCGGGACAACAAGCAGAGAGAGGTGGTCAGATATACTGTGGTGGGGGAGGGGAACAGATCTGTAAACATGGTCCAAGGTGTTATTTCCTCTCATGGGTCACATGTTGAACAAATTTAGGTAGCACAGTCACAGTTCTTAAGCATGCTTTGTTGAAATCCCCTACGATTATGTGTACTCCTTCTGGATATGTCCGTTGCTGTTCAGAGATCAAGTCATGCAGGTAGGCAAAGGCTGAGCTAACATTTGCATCTGGTGGTATAAAGACTGGTGTTATTAGCACTGTGGGCAGTTCTCTGGGGAAATAGAAAGGTCTGCACACGACAGACATTGCCTCTATGTCCAGGGAGCAGACTATGATGATGATCTTAGTGTTTGTGCACCAGTTGTTATGTGTGTAAATGCTTTTGCACAAACTCTGCTTTTCCCCGCTGTAGCCATTCAGTCGCTGAGGTGCATTGTGCAGCCTGCTAGTTTCATGTCTCTGTGACGACCAAGACACAACAGTTGTGGACGAGTGGCTGTGCAGCGAGAGGAAGGTTCAGTTCGTCTATTTTGTTGACGACCGACCATGGTTGGTCAAGAAGATGCTGAGAAGCAGTGGTGTAAAGGGCTGCTTCTTTAGCCTGGCTAGCTAATGTAAAAGTAAAGAAAGTATACTTAGCTACAGAAGGACATTTAAGTTGCCAGAATTCCTGGTGTTAGTAAAGACAAAAGCAGTTATTCAGTACAAATGTACTGACTTTTTTTTTTTTAATTAGGTCAAAGAGAGGGTGCAAAATTTTTAAAATGTAAAAGTAAAACATCATAGTTTAAATGTAATGTACAGACTTACCTTTTTTTGTGACAATGAATGTAAATTATGGGCTGGATTCAAATTGTCAGTGGGCTCTGAGTTAGAAACATACACTTATGGGATGTTGTGGAAGCCTTTAACTAATTTAACTGATAATGCTTTCACTATAAAACAAAGAGGACTTTTTAGACAGGCAGTTGTTAATTGTATTTTTGTTTATTTTTATCTATTTATACCCAAAATAAATGGTAACATATTTTACAGGAATGACACTGTGGGACTGTAATGACCTGGAAAAAGATAGACGAGAACAAGAACAACCTAACACTGAATCTAAAATAGTGGCATCTGAATCAATTGAGGACAAATCTTCAGCATTAAATGTTGAGGCATCCCTGAAGGCAAGTTTCTTGGGAGGACTGGTTGAGGTTGGAGGATCAGCCAAATATCTTAATGATCACAAAACATCCAAATACCAGGCCAGAGTGACACTGAACTACAAAACTACAACAAAGTTCCAGGAACTGTCAATGAATCACCTTGGAAGAGGCAACGTAAAACATCCCTATGTTTTTGAGCAAGGAATAGCAACACATGTAGTCACAGGTATCCTTTATGGGGCTCAAGCTTTCTTTGTGTTTGACCGTGAGGTTTCTAAAGAGGAAACTCATCAAGACATCCAGGGCAGCTTGAAGGTGATGATCAAGAACATCCCCTTGCTTTCCATAGAGGGTGAAGGGTCCCTGAAAATGGAAGATAAGGACAAAAAAAGTGTTGAGAAATTCTCCTGCAGATTCTATGGAGACTTTTGCCTTAAGAAACCTCCAACAACATTTCAGGAAGCTGTAGAAATCTACAAAAGCCTTCCAACACTACTAGGAACCAATGACGAAAAGGCTGTACCAATGAAGGTCTGGCTGTTACCTTTGACCAGTTTAGATTCTTCTGCTGCTAAACTCGTCCGTCAGATAAGTATAAGATTAGTTCAGGAATCACAGAGCGTCCTGGAGGACTTCAGTGAACTGGAAAGAGGTGTAACGATGCACTGAGAACTTCCACTGTCCAACAGTTCCCACAGATTAGCAAAAAACTGAAAAGTTTTAAAGAAATGTGTTCAGAGTTCAAGCTGGGATTTCAGCGAATGTTAGCAAAGAGACTACCATCAATCAGAGGAGGAGGAGAAGAGGAGGCTGAACTCGCTGAGATCCTGAAGAAGAGACATTCTTCACCTTTCAACAGCAAAAACCTGACTGAGTGGATGGACTGTAAAGAGAGAGAAATCAGTATCTTAAAGTCTTTCACCAACATGATGAAAAACACCAAGACTGTCCCATCTCAGAATAATCTACATGAGGAACTTCTCAGTGCAGAGCATGGCCTGTGTTTTGTTTTCACCTCACTGGGGAAGGATGAACCGTACCTCTCAGCTTTATCAGACTACCTGAAAGAAACAACCAAAACAGACGTTCACGTTTATCATACTTACAATGTAGAGAAGGAACAATGGTACCTTTCAAAAGAAGTAGCAGATGAAATGAGGAAGAAAGCAAAACTCTTCAGTGATTTTGCAGAGGCCAACAAGGAAAACAAGAAGATTAAGTTCCTGACAGTGGGGTTAACTAATGAGAACTCAGGAAGGTTCCAGCATCTACCTTTATGAAGGTGGATTTGCTGTCAGTGAGAACTTTGAGCCTCCTTCAAAGCCTGAAACTGTGACTGTAGCTGACATAAACCACAACAGTGTGACACTGAAGATTTCTCCACCCAGATTTGGAGCAGAGAACATCACCTCCTACTCTGTTGAGTACTGTGTCAGTGGAGAGGATGGATGGCAGCAGAAGACAGAAGCAAAGGCTGAAGAAGTCACAGTGAGAGATCTGAAGCCAAACACAGAGTATGTGTTCAGATGCAGAGCAGTGACCTCAGCAGGTGTCGGACCAGCAATGTAATCAGTGATGCCATTAAAACTTTACCCTGCAGCCCTCCTGGAAAACCTAAGCTCAGCCATATTCAAGTGAGATATCAGTGAGCTGGGAGAAGCCTGCTGAGCTTGGAGAGGATGTCCAGATATTGAGTTACATAGTGGAATATGCAAAAACAGATAGCAGCTCAACAATAAATGACCTCGAGTGGACTCAAACAATTTCAGGAGGTGAGAAGGCCATCATTTCAGGGCTTCAGTCAGAGACACAATATGCAGTCAGGGTCAGATGTGACTGTGGTGTAGATGGAAGAAGCAAGGAAAGCATCATTGTTAATGTCTGCACAACAAAGTGTGAATTTGCACGTCTGGCTGAGTACCTAAAACATATCAGCAAGAAAACAAACTCAAAGCTGCCCTCGGTTTACAAACTGCCCCTGGAAGAAGAAGATATGGACATAGATGGATTTCGGAGGTATATCTTTGGCAAAGAAAGCATGAGGCAGAATCGTACAATAATGCTTCTTGGAGCAACAGGATCAGGAAAGTCGATCTCT